TATTCGATTTAAACCTTAGGCTTGACAAGTTCACTTGTGATTTTCCTCTTGTCTTTTGTATTCAGGATGAGACGGTTTGCCTCGTACATCTTTCTAATGACTCTTCTGATGGTCTTGGTTTCCAAACGCAAAACAGAAGGACAACTGGGATTTAGATTTCCTCATATTCGCAGAGGTCGCACTTTAATTTATGTAAGTGTTAAAATTTTATACGAAATTTTAGACGTCCTCAAGATTAAGCAGTTTCTCAAAGCAAATTTGGGTGAATAAAAGAGGCAGGAATACTAAACCTCAATAAGGTGATCAAATGGGAAAACTACTGATTTCTTTCGTGTTCCCTTACACCTACACTGGTTGTGCCGTTTGACCTTGAAAAAATTGAAAGAAATTTTTATTAAGCAATTGGTGGATGATTGTAGTCCAAACACGACGCAATTTCGTAAATACTAAATTATGTTTTCGTTCTTTTTTAGGGTTACTCAAGGATAAGAAATTCAATGAAAGATTCTAGAATGGAGCAGCGAAATGACTTCACTGCAAGGGAGAGTGACAAACTGGAAACTTCGCATCCGCTACACTGACAAAAATAAACATGTCATGAAGCTTTGGCATAAAAAAAAAAAAAAAACAAAAAATAATAATCAAACGAAAGAACTATCAAATAACTGAGATATGTATTAATTACACCCGAGTTAAAATCAATTTCTGCCTGTTTGAATCAGTTGCTTCAGTTCACAATTAATTACTGGGTAGTGGTTTGAAAAATGACAAATGTTAACAAGTCAAATCAATCTTGTTGGTCTGGATATAAACCTTAATCTCCCGATTGCCTCATCGCCCATAATGGCGCTGTTTGATTGGTTATCAACGAGCTCTGTCTATTTAGGTCAACTGGTCAATTTGCAGATTTTTGGAAGGTTCGAGATAGCCCCATTCACTTTTAAGTGAATCAGTTAGTTTCCATTTCACACCCCTTCCTTTAAAAGACCAATTTTTAAACTACCCCAGGAAGACAAACATTGATGTTTGCCGTTAGCGTCTCACGGTTTCGAAATATTCCTCCGATCTCTGGTTTTTGCTTATCTGTGTAAGCTTTCATAATAATTTTCCTCACCACACCGTAAAATGAGCTCATAACCCGCTAGATAGAATTACATCAATCAAGAAAGTCTTTTGTTCCGCTTGAAGTCTTTCTTGAGAGAGAAAACAGTAGTGCTTGAACAAATCGAATATGAACACGGCACATAGGGCAGGCAAATATAATACCAATGAAAAATTTAGTAGAAAGAGTTTGATTGTATTAAATCTAATCAAAGAGCCAACAACTTTCAAAGCCTCTGGTCAGAGGTGAATGACATCGGCTCTGAGAATTCATTTATTATTTAAAGACTTAACGCCATCAAAGTGAAAAAGTTCGTTTATTATTAACATAGGGAATTATTATTTTTGACTAAATGAAGTTCCGCCCTTTTATAGATTCAAGAAGACTCGTTGAGTACTAAGATTGCCTCATTTAATTCATTCGATCATAGAGATGACGATTGCAGGCCAAGTTATTCGGACAACGATGGTACCTACTTACGAGATGCAAGAGACAAATACCAATTAAAACCACTTATGCTATTTCGGCATCATTTGTATTTTCCAATTTGCGGTGTTTTCGGCAATCTGTATGCCCAAGCTGTCATTATAATTTTGATTGTTATTCTAACCCTTAAAATACTGAGAAGTCGTGAGTGTTTGTAAGTTGCTTGTCTATTTTTATCATAATTTGCAATTTTAACCTCGCTAATATCACATTTTATGAGCAAAATCGTGCAAACGCTCATGCTTGGAAATGAGCAGGTGCCTTGATAGGAAGGAAATCGTGAGTTTTATGTTTTAAGTTTTGTTTTAACCCAGGCACGCATCATTGACTGCTTCTCCACAAAATATTTCATGGTAAATTCCTTGGAAGGGTACAGTGTTTGATAAATCAGCTAGCTATCTGGCAAACTAGGATATATTTATCTACAAAAGTTTTGTGTGATAGTAATGGAGAAATATTAAAAAATTTGGGAAGGTTTTCATGTTATCAGAAACAGATCACATTTCACTATGCTGATAAGGAGAAAGGTTTACATTTTCATTCTCCCTTTTCGAAAAGCTGAGGCCATTATCTATATATTCCACTCACCGCCAAATTTATTTTGTTTCAATTCCATTATGTCACTTGAAATTAAGTAACAAATAGCTAGTAAATACATGTAGGTCCCGTAACACTCTTGATCCCGGATACCAATTATCATAAATTTTAAAGGAGTCTTCGTATTCCATTAATCATCGAAGAAATCACGGTTGGCTACCACTTGAGAAAAATCTACCATTCAATCTGCAGGTGAACTCTAAGAAACTGAACTGATTAGAGTAAGTTGCCTGAAAAAGCAACAAATGCTTGGCGGTATTTCGTCCGAAGATGAAAACTTACAGAACATCTTAGCATCTATTGTGGCATCAGTCTCAGGCGCCAGATTGAACTATTCCATAGCAAATGGTCTATTTCATGACTTTCATTTTTCCCTTGTCGCACCTAACTTAAAAATTGCAAAAGTAGTGTTGCAGACAAGTGGGGGGCAGTTGTAGAAAGATCTAGCCCACATTTAGCCCTTGTAGATGCCATTTATTGAGGAAGTTCAATCTTGCCTTTAATGAAAATTATACAAATGACTTAAAACGACAAATTTAGAATCTCATCAGCGAGTTTTAATTTCAAGAGCAGGTTATTAATGCGTGCGAGATGCTGGACGTTAGCAGTTAACGACAGATAATGGCATGAAAGTTGGACAACGAACATTCAAATCTTAACTGTATAGTTCAAAGTTATTTTTTGAAAAGAGAAACTGAAACGTCATCAAGAGATACATTACCTTTTTGAAAAAAATTAAACGCTGTACTTAAGGGGTAAATATTTGGGTTTTCAGAAAAGAAACCTGTGAAAATAATGTTTCATTCATATTGAGTTTCAAATGAGTGAACCCGCTTTTGGATCACTGACCCGTATTCCGATAATTCTCTAATTTAAAACATTCTCACTAGACTCCGTGTGTGTTGCCGTCCCCCAGATCATAATAATGTGAGTTATATACGGGTCTTTCCAGGACGTATATCATTATTGTATGAGGTGAACTCACTCATGTTAATACATTTCGGCGATGAGGATGTTAACACTAAACTCGAAACGCGATATGTGGGAATAACAAATAATTCTAAAAATCGGAAGAATCTTGAACTTAACATGCAGAGTACTTTGAACCATATTTCTTCGGGAACAATGTCCACTATGTGGGCAAACAACAAACCAACGTAACCTCTCGTCAAAGATTTGTTTCAACCAGCGGAGCCTGTGATGACAGCTTTCAAGAGGATTGAGGATACCACTGAAAGAACTTATCATCAAAGCTTGGTGAAGTAGTGACGCCGAAATCGCACGGTGGGGGAAGGAGTTACGAAGTAGACTGTATGTAGCAGCGTTGCATTAATTCACGAAACATCGCTATTTTGGCGAAACGCCACAGAAACACTTCAGACTGATTGGTATAAAAGAATCTCCAGAAAACATAATGGCGTCCGCTCGGGCAGTTAGACTTTCTTTGGATTAGATTACTTTGGCAGTGGAGTAAGCCTCGTAGCGCGCAGTCGATATCATATCCGAAACGATCCATAGCAAAATTCAACGCGCTGATTCATCCAAACGAAGCTAACTTGGAGAATCCTCCCAAAAATTCAGAATGTCGTAGTAGAGGGGTCAAGCACCAAGCACTTAGCCCAAGTAAATGGATGGTCTATTAGTCCGCCCCCTGTGTTAAGTAACCAATCAAATCGCAGCAAAATGATAGACGAAGAAGCCAATGCGTGGCTAGTTTTGCAACTTTTGTCCCCCCAAACGTTTATTCTTTCCAAAATAATTCATTATGCAGTTTAAAAAGGGATGTAATAACGTGGTAATTGAACTTCGGGTCGTGCAATTTCGGTCTGAAATCATCCTTATGATTTCAAACCAATCTCGCGCTGCGCGCTTTTTCGATTATAAAATCAAGCTTATGACTTCAGACCTAATAATATACATGCAAAAATTTCAGGATGCTCATCGACCTCATTAACTGAGGACACATCAGAAAGTCGAAACTGAGGGCCGAAAGTTGAAATTAAATTGACTGTCAGGTAAGTCGCGAAAGCATAACAAAACAAAATTAGAAAAAAAATAACAACGTCTTAATTCAGAGTTTTGAGGGTCAATGCCAGAATCAAAAACACCCAACAGAGGAAAAACAACTGGTTTAAAGGCTGGCATCCAAAAACAGATGTGAAAGTATGAACCTGAAGCCCTAAATAAAATTCTCGAGGAGTTTTACACAACAGTTCGTACGAAAGACGGGGAAGTGATGGTGATCGTTACTGATGTCGATCCAAACCTAACTGGGAAAGAATACAAACCCTTAATTTTTCTCAAGAGAGTTTGAAGCAAATTCTTGAGGAAAATGCACTACTACTCCGGCAACAAGGCAAGGGCAAGCGGCCGAATTGTTGAGCCACAACGAAAACTAAAGACAACGAAAAGGAAAACGGTCATATTTTTGCTTGTATATTATTAACTATTAATCACATGATTTTTCTCGTGCAATTTGGGATAACTCAGCACTGGTAAATTTTTCAAAGACTGTAAATTGCATTCGCCCTACGGGCTCGTGCAGTTTAGTTGGCCTTTGAAAGAATTTACTCGTGCTGATTTACCCCAAATGGCACTCGAATCATGTGATTACCAATAAAAATTGCATTCCACTCAGTTCAATTATCAGTTATTATCAACCGAACGCAAAAAGTCGATACTTGACGGCGTGCTTCCTTTGAGAGGACGCTTTCGACCAAGAATCTTTAGAACAGAAAAAAAAGAGAAGAATAAGAAAAGCTGCATGCAGTTCATTCTTCCTCCCAAACACACCCGAACCAACACACAGAAAAAGTAAAAGATAAAAACAACGTGACAATATTTATTTAGTTATTTCTAGATCGGTTTGGCATCATGTATTCCTGAGTTACCTAGTTACTTTACGTTACCTACTTGACCAATCTGGCAGCAATCCAAAACTACTAACCGTTGTTTACCTTTGGTTTTGGGCTAACAATAGTCAATTTTACAGCGCTCTTAGGTTCGCAGATACTACTAGACAAAGACACAAACTATTTCTATTGCTTCCATTTGACTTAAACTCTTTCTGCGACACCTGCAGTCTCTTTAATCAGCATATTGTTTGCCCGGAGTGCTTCAACCCTTTTTGTTGTGTTTTACTAAAGATAAATCCTATGAAAGTCATTATTTCCGAACGTAGCGTTACACTTTGGGCATTTCCTCTGTCTCGTGTCATACCTGGTCTTCAGACATTCAAAACAGAACACGTGAAAGCATTTGGTCAAGATGGAGTCCTTCTTACGTGTATTACAACAAGGACACGTCAGCTTGGCCTGAAGAAAAAGAAAGGCAACAAAATAAACAGGAAAACAGTTGGACAAAAATCGAATAATTTCATTCGATGTATTTCCCCTCCTCAAAACACCTCAACACGCAAATACAAATGACTGCTTATAAATCCACCTCATGAGTGGTAGTGCCCACGCTCGTCCGTGGAAAATCTCAGGTTACTTCCTCTAGTAAATCCCCACCATAGTTATGGGAAAAACACTTCGAAATCGAATGATAAAACAGCTATCAGTGCACTAATTTATCGCAGATCAACTAACGAATAACAAATCTGTTGCCTCTAGCTGACGGCGACATCTGCAAAAGGCAATTGTTTAGAATTTACAGTGGAAATAGCAGATTTCTAGTATTGTAGTAGATTTCCAGTATACCAGTATTTTCCAGTATTCCTGTTGCAATATTGTTCGGTGTTCATCAGGCTGCAATGTACTAGACAAATTCGCACACCTGGCCTGAAGAGAAGCAAACGCATCACAGCAGGATGCGTGGTATGTTTGAAAACCACCTATCCACCGCATTGCGATTTCTACCCTTCCAACAAGCGGGTCCTGGAAACACCTTTCATTAAGACAGTGCGCGGGCTCGTCCCATCGAATCCCCATTAAGCCATCATGATATAAATTTTAACCTACGCAAACCTGTGTATCCAGAAGAGGATGTGTGCAGTCGCACACGTAGCAAAGTTTCAGTCCAGTTTAGCGGTGATTTTCATGGTATTTCCGTTCCATCCCGATTGGGATTTGGTATTTGGATTTCAAATGATGATAATAAATATGCTACAGAATTCTGGATTCGGAAAACAATTGACACTTAACACTTACTAGCGACGAATTTAACTTTGGAGTTAATGGCACTTCGATTCCGAAACGCATTACGAATGATGACTGGAAAATGAAATTAATCTTGCTGACTTATAAGAGGCCATTTTACCATATTGGAAGACTGTGTCCAGCCACCTCGAGAAAGAGAGGAGGTTTTAATCACTCAAGAGTACAGATTATCGATGTTGTGTTTTTCGGCAATCGAATGGTTAAATTCGGGATCAACAAGGTTTTTACAGGAGGCCTGTGAATAACGAAAGGTACGAAATCTTTTCACCTTCGAACAGTGTGTTTATCCGAGCGTCTCGTACAGCTCTATGTACGCAGTCTTTATTTCAGCCCACTTTTGGTCCATCAGTAAAATATGCTGATCTCAGATCTCAGCTGTTAGTTAAATAATCTATCAGTCGAGCCCCACACTGTAACTGAACATGCGGGAGCCTTATCTGCTAGCTAACGACTCAAATGAAAGGAAGGAGTTATGGATGGAAAGGGTACATTTTGGGTCAAAACAACAACTGCGAAATGGCTTTTAGATATTTTCCAAGTTAAAAAAAACGCATGGATTCCATGTTTCCGTACGCCTGTTAAGCACTAGATCACAAAAGACGTTGACGTAAAAATGTGGTTAGAACTTACCTAGTAACATAGAAAGTAAAAAGTACTTTATACCTTATACTGTTTGATTTCCTCTAAAAGAATTTCGTCCGCTGCGCCATATAAAACATTCTTCTTCTCCTTCTCAAGTCTACGCTTTAGATTTACGCACTCCTCCTGCAACAGGAAATTTAGACTGTGATGGAGCACAGTTCATCTGATAAGTAGCATGATACAAACCAGAAAACATAGAAAACCAATCTTTTACCTGAATTCTACGTGACTTGAATGCTTCTTCTTCAGATGCTCGGGTCTGCTCTGACAAGCAATCTTGAGCCTGAGGGTGCACAAAAATAAAGAAACTACTATTTATGTACGGCGGACTTGTCTATAACAGTTGTCTTGAGGGTAATGGCCGTCAGAGGCAGATAGACAGCACAATGATGCTCTTGGCACCTCTTTTTTTTCCGAACAGGTGAGTAGTCTTATTTCTAAATCAAACCTTTAGTACCCAATAAATTTCAATACTAGTTAAAAAGAAACAACAGTTTATTTTTAGAATTAAAAGTTGAGCAAATAACAAAAAAGTTTAGATAGAGCTAGACTATCATTGCTTAGAACCTTTTTCTTTCGGTATTGAAAAGAATTGATGTCCTCTATAACGTGACATGAAGCTGACGAGGATTTCGTGTTCGTGCGAGTTGTTAAGCACTGCTCAACACTGATTAACTGGTCACTACCGACTAGTTATTTCGTTTGTACAGAGATTAAAATAAGAATTGAACCTGAACCAGGGGAAAAACAGTAGGAGAAGTAAAGAGGTAGACGTGGTTGAGAGGCGACCCTTAAAGGAGGTTCTACTGCGTAATAAAAGTGGCTGTGAGCCACTGAACTCGGCACTGAATTATGAAGGGATGAGATGTTGAGGCCCCTGACCTGACGTCGTATTTTAAAACTTTTGCTCGCTGTTACCTATCTGGCCTACTACTCCCGGAAAGCACGTAATGATCACTATATACGCCCTGCATACTTAGCGCAATAAATATTGCTTCTCCTTTCAAGTGAGAGAGGTCAAGGAATCTATCTCTTAACTTATTTTGTCTTCTTTTTTTCTTTTTTCCTTTTCATTTCATCGACCTTCTTAAAAAAGAGAGATTTTTCCTATTTCGTCCGGAACGAAACCATTTATTGTGCAGTCATCAGCATTCAAGAGGCCAATTCCCGAAGTGCAGCGTTCCTCTCTCTTTTTTATGCTTTTGAGTGTAATTCAACGATCCTAGGTTTCTCGGCGGTCAAATGTTCAAATTCGGATTCAACAAAGTTTGTACAATGCCTATAAATACTGAAATGGAAGACGGCTAATCGAACACTTTATTCATCCGAACCCCTCATATGCGCAAACATATGCAAGCTCTTCTGATCTAAGTGTTGTTTCATTGCAAACTGCATAAATTTTTAATAATTCTCAACTATTAGTTGAGCCTCATGCAGGAACTGTACATGCAAAAGCCTTGTGCTAGTCAGCGGACTTACCAAAAAGTTAGCAGGAATGAAAAGAGTGATGGGCCGATGAAGCGATGGAGTGATGGAGGGAAAGAATGAATTTTGGGTCATAATAATAACTCGGAAATGGCTTTCAGTCATTTCCAAGTTTAAAATCATGTAAGGAAACAACAAATAAAAAGGGTAGTTTGCTTCGGGTTTGGGTATCTTATTAATACATACCTTTTAAACGTTTATATTCAGTGCATATTACGAGATGCTTATCGATGATCAGTGTGTTATTAACTCTTTTGCAGGTTATCCCTATGGCTTCTATAGCCTCCGATATCTTTATTTGTGTTATTTTGTTGTAATAACAATAAATACAAAACAAAACAAAACAAAATGGAAAGAAGTTTCAGAAAGATCGGCTGGATACAGGAACCTTAGCTTGGCGTCACGAGATTACCATGGCTAGAGCAACAGTAAGCATACCTCTTGAAATTGTTGCTGAAACGAGTCAAACCGGATTTTCATATCCTGGGCTGCCTGTGCACTCTCTATTGCCTGTAACAAAATAATCGTGGTTTGTAATGTGAATGGTTGCTTCATCTCGGAGAACAAAGCCTTATCGTACATCCTACATCTTTCTGCAAATTTTTCTTTCGCGTACTAGCAATACCGCTAGTATGACAAACTGGATAGTCTCAGATTATTTAAAGCGACCCGCTAGAGAGAGATGAGGCATGCTAAGTATCCTGTTCTTCTCGACACAACAAGCCAAACACAGGAAATGTAAGGCAAGTGGGGGGAATACCACGAGGTAGTATCTGACCAAGTATAAAAAGAACGGGACAACGAGTGCTGTAATTGGCAGGGAAAAAGGAGCAACATGTCCCCACAAAAGAAGAACGAGTGCGTAAGCCCAGTAACTGTTAGGTTTAGGTTCAAATGTACACATGACTGGCAAAAGCCACTGTGATTGCGAGACAGTAAAAAAACCGATCAAAAAACCAAAGTGAACACCAAGATAGAGTTCACAGAAAGCGAGAAATAAACGCTGCCAAACGTCAACAGCCTCTGTGTCTTATTCATTGGCAGCCATCTAACCTTTCGTTTATGTAACTCCATTGCTTGTTGCCTAAGATTTAGTTCCTTCTCCAACGAAGTCTAAAGACAGTGAAAAACACAGGAGAACAAAACAATTCAAACAATAAATTAATGTCACTTGCTAATTGATGGTGAAAACTTAGGTCATTGACAGTTGGAATGAAAGGTCATGAAATTCAAATAGCAAGCATTGTACCACTGCGTTCTGTAAAGCTTTTTCTCTCTCCTCCAGTTTCTTCACTAACTGAGTCTGCGTCTCGCGATGTGTATTGAGTGAGGTCACGTGATCTGCCAAAACGTCCATCTCCTCACGGATCTGTTTCTGAATCTGATTACCTTTGATTCGCTAAGCAAAATTCAAACATGCGATTAACGCCACTATTTGACTGTTTTTTTTTTGCTTATTGTGTGGAATTAAGTTGATAAAGATATTGAAGGTACTTGTTTGGCGACTCTCGACAGGAATCGATTGCATTCTTGTAGTTACTGCCAAAGCGGTCATTTCCTTAAGCAGTTTCCATCAAACTGCATGGCTAAAAGGCATTGGGTGAGTCCACCTCTTAGAAACTTAAAATTATGCAACTCAGTGAAGAAACTTAATTGGGCAAATTCACCTTCCATAGAAACAGTCAACGATGAGGCTTTTCAAATAAGTTTATTTTCCCCTAAAAGCACGTACCAATCACACAACCCATTGTGGAGACAGAAGTGGAAGTACAGATTTCACCGAGATAACCGATGATCTCACAAGAAAAGGAGAGGGGGGGGGGGGAGTGTGCAGTCTCCGCCCAAATTATCATTGATTACATATTTGAAATGGAATTTTCTCACCTCAGACATCAGTTTCAAGTTAGCGTCATCCTTTTCTCTTAACTGCTGCAGAAGTCGAACATTCTGTTCCTGCATTTCCTCAAAAGCCTGACCAGTGAACTCCATTTCTGCCAACACAGCATCCTCCTCCTAAAGCAATAAAGTCATAGGCCCCAACAAAAAGTCTCAGAGCGATTCTAGGAAAGCCTTGCTCATTTCATTTCCCAAAGTTTTTCTAAGTCCAATCCAACAATACCAAGATCACTTTACCTCCAGCTAAAGAAATCTCCGACACAATAACACTTTTAATAGATAAAAAGACCTTGTTTCCCAGAATACTTAAGCACCCGACAATTGATTTCGAAATCCAAATCTACCTCACGTAAGTGTTAACCCTGCGGCAGATATTGGGGACGGTTGCAAAGTTGAAATGAGTTTTTTACCTGTTTTGTTGCTGCTAAGTTCTTCTGTAATTGTTCAATGGTTTCTTCGGCCATTTTTAGCCTATGTATAGCCTCTTCGTCAGCCAAAGCTCCTTTGTGCTTCTCTAATTCTTTCTCAAGATTTTCTGTGCGGTTTTTCTGCTCCTCTATCTGCTCTTTTAGGCGCTTTTCCTCGGTTAACAGCTGAACAATCAAACACATAAACAGTGTCCAGAATTGTCGCAAGCTGACCCTAACCACCATAGCGAAGTATAAATAATAGATGGTTTAGTGTTCATACCTAGTCGACGCCAGCCACGAATAAATCTAAACTAGTTTCGATCAAATAAAACGCCAAGGAGTCCTGTAATACATATGCATGTGAAGGTGGTCTATCACGGGTAACGTTTGTTTTTCCTTCCAATTTCTTTAACTAAAAGTATGACATGTATAGAAAGACGAAAAAACTGTTCCTGTGGAAATGTCGAGATCGAGGAAAATTAAAATTTCTCCAAAGCCTATGTGGCAATGGTTTTGGATCAATACCACTTGTAACTGGACCAAAAAAGATCAATTTCTTATACCTAACTAAATGAAAGATGAGATCGAGGAAGAATTTGAAAAAAATTGAAGCCTGAGAATTCTGACATTCAAGCTCAAAAAGAATCGGTTGGTGAGAAACCCCAGTAACAATAAAGTAACTTTTGAAAGGATTAGAACATGGACGCAAATCGAATTCCGTTATCACGGCGAACGTAGAAAAGGCCTCAGCCAGCCTACTCACTCGTTGTCAGTGTGCAGGAGGAATTAGTGTGACACTGCAATTTTCAACTCAAACGTAATATCCCTAAGGCCCATACAGAGACTTTGATTGCATGGAGTTGACAAGGTTCAAATAATCCAGCCGTATAATCGTAGCTCCAGCAAGAGCGGGGTGTCTCAATTGTTAAAGATCCTATTCGTTGGTCAAGACGTGAGACTAGAGAAACTCCGAGTCCCAAACCAGGAAGCGATCCAAGACCCACGGATTTCGCACTCCACCCAAAGAGAACTTTCAGATGAGCCAAGCCATTCACTAGGCCATTCGCTGGGTATCATGCGTATCTTGTTCAGGATCGCTGAAGGATGACCCTAGTCCAAGCTTGAACTCGAACATCTAAATTAACTTTCAAAATGCTTCTCATAACGACATGTAAAGCTGCAAATATTGAACGCGTACCTCCACTTTATCCCTCAGATCTTTAGCAGCTCCTTTGTAAACATCCAACACAAGTTTCATCTCTTTCTGAGTTTCTTGGGATTTCCTGAAACAATAATCAAAAATGCACGGGCTCAATTATCACTGATGCACGTAATTGAATTTAAAAACTGCTAAAAACTTAATTAAAAATTGTTCGCAGTATGTAATTGGACGATATTCCGCATAAACAGACTTTTATCTGCCAGCAGTTGTTTGTAGATCACATGGAAAGTTGTGGGCCATTAAAAGAGAAGAAAATACATCGAGTGTTGATCCTGTTTTACAGTTGGCTACTGACCCTTGAGATTTATGATTGGGCATTAATACGTGTCTAAAAGCAGAACTTCTTTCGGTGCAAGATTGGGCCACACTGGATACGTTTGGATTTCAGCCAACGGCTTACTTGTGCACGTTCAGGAAATCGTCCAGGAACATCAACGAAAAAACATCTTTAATCCTTAATAAATATAAGCTTAAAAACATCGCTAAAAAATCGCACAAAGGAAAGAAAAGGAGACAAGACGAGTTGAGCTACGACAGGAAACTGGAAGAATTTTGTTTTAAAATTCATTTCCCCTTAGTTTAACCAGTAAGACTCGAGCAGATTTACATGATCCACGCTGAACTTGAGCCATGGACTTCAGCCCCATCTTTTGTACATAAAAGCATCAACAATCCTCTACATCCGACACAAACGAAAACTACTCACTTTAAATTCTCCCGTAATTCCTTAAGTTCCAAGTCAGTGGATTTATTGGTGGCTGCAGTCTCCTCGCCGTCTTCTATCTCCCCTTCTTCCTCTGGCTTTGACGTCTTTGCCTCTGGTTCGTCTTTGCTTGTCTGACTTTCTTGTTGGAATTTTTCTTCAGTTGGTTCTGGCTTCTTGTCTGGTTCTCTAACTTTTTTCAACTCTTCGGACAACTAAGCAAATTTATTCGCAATAACAGTGATAATAATGATAATAATAATAATAATAATAATAATAATAATAATGATCAAAATAAGAATCATAAAAAATAGTCAAACGTCAAGGTTCATTTGTGCTTGTGGCAACTATGACGGTCTTAAGATGTTTTGAGGAGCTCTACTGAACCTTTTTACCTTGACAACTTGAACTTGGGCTTCGCTGAATTTCCGTTTGTATCTCGAAACTTCAACCTTGAGTTGCTGATTATGACTCTAAAAAAGATATTAAAAACACGGTTGTCAGGCTCAGAGTTTGTTTTGAATTAAGAACAGGCAAACACGATTTCAGCCTCACTTATCTACTCAAGTATAACATTATTTATGAAATTATTACCTGTAAACTGTTTATCATGTGACTCATCTCTTTCGTCATAGGTCCTACAAAAGAAGTTTGAGGATTATCAGGTCTGCTTTATATTCTCTCTGACTTACTTTCAAAAGAGAAAGACTACAAGCCTTGCCTCTCATGTGGCTTATGTCTTTGATTTAAACTACAGCGTGGGAGATTACACAAGTAAGGGGACTAATCACCGTTCAATTTGTGAGGGACGCCAATGTTGTAGAAAAAAGAAAGGATTTGTTCAATAAGAGTGCAAAAATTTTCTTCACGATGTCATTGACCAGAACATTAGAGTAACCAGTTCGTCTTGAGAGAGAAATGACAGGATCAGGCGGAGGGCTGTCACGAAAGAAAATATCAAAACAAACTGTGATATACTGTACGAAATCTACCTATTATTTCTTCCGTCTGTAACCTTTACAAAACGTTTCTTCGATGGGAAGGAGGAGGAATGAAATACATGCACAGCAAAGGAATGTAAATTTAAACCAAATATTTTTTACTTTAATATGTTCTCTATATTTTTTTTTTAACTTCACAAGTAGAATTATGTTCCTGTATTACTTGTTTAAAGTACACCTGAGGTTTGGGACCTGACAAAATCTTGCATGCATCTGGTGGTAATTTGAAGCGTTTATACCAATTTCCATGTCGAGGTGCGCATTTCTGTATCCATGACAGGAGTAATAGATCATGATTTTGACTGATTCCTCTGATTTTCAACTAAGTCCATCATTATGTACCTGTCTGTTCATTTGCTTTCAGGTTCTGTTCAAACTCCATTCGTAGCAGGTCATAGTCTCTTTTCACTTGCAGAAGAGCATCATGAAGTTCGCTAACTTCAGCCTTATATTTCTTTTGTATTGTGACATTGTTCGACTGAAAAAGAAACAAAGCATTGCAGCATTTTATTAGGCCTGGAGAATTCTAATCTGTGATTAAGCTGCTGCCCTGGCGGTTTAATATCTAATTACATTAAAAACATTTGACTGAGATCAGATTTTCACACCATACCTCAACTTGTTCTAGTTGAAGTACATGCTGAGTTTTAGTTGTGCTGAGAACACGACGCGTGTCATCAAGTTGTTGACGAAGCTAAGGAAATAATAATCAGAAAAAATGAAACGTTAGGACCGTTTTCAAACTAACATGAATGTTAATGAACATTAGCTTCTGCAGAAAATAATCAGATACATAATCATTTTGTGCCATATATCCAGTGATAACAGTGATAACAGTAGATACAGGACCTTTGATGAGTCAAAATATTTGAAATTTAATCTCAAGAATTGCCGCTGATACATGATTTAAATGGAATGAAATGAGTGGGGTTATAAGAGAAAAATAACATTTGTCTATCAAAGAGTCTCCAAGATTTTAGAACGGAGAACATTCCCAAACAAATTATTTCTAAGTCAAGAAAGATTTTTAAATCTGTACCAGCTATGACTACGCAGACGTCTCAAGAACTGAGATCAACAGAATAAGTCGTGCTCCACTTCTGTTAGAGAAATCAAATCACAAGTCCTCCCCTAACTCTCAAAACCTAAGTCCTGTGTATTTTATCTAAAGCAGCCGTTTTGTAATGGGAATGAAGTGGTGCTTTTGTAAACTGTTCGATATTGTTTTAGTTAAATCAAATTCTAAAAAATAAACCAGTCTTGTTATCCTTTTGCTATAACAGGGTAATTTAGTATTACCATCTGAACTGATAACGTAAACTGGCCATCGTAAAGAATTTAAAAGCTGACGTTTTGAGCATTTGTCTTTTGTCAGAGCGATTCAATCATTCTGACAAAGGGCTAAATTACCCTAAATTACCTAGTTATACTCTCCCACAGATGTACAACCATGGTTTATTTAGAAACTTACCCCCTTCATTCTTTTGCTATAACAGTTAGGCTTAACTAGTCTTGGTAGAAACAGTTACTCTTATGGGATTAGTATTACATATGAATGAAACTTCATCTGAGTTGAGGTTGCATATTCCAGCAATTTATCTGACGGATCACTTGCAATTTTATTGAATCTGATATGCACCAAGCAAACACTTTTTTTCACAGGTGACACTAGAAACATCTCAGTCAAGACCTACACACTGTATATCCTTAATTCCATTGTTGTAAAAATGAATAAATCCCATAGCTGGAAAGTAGGATGTCATCAACCAAATTACATTTTAAAAAATATATATGAAAATAAGAAAATAATAATTGTGAATTATGATCCCAAGATGCTGTGATGTGTCATTCGCATACAGCCCTTTCTTAAAGTGATCAATGGAACAAAATGTCAACTGCAAGCCAATATTTTAAATACTAAACATAATCTTGACCATAATTTAGTTCACTAAATATTCAATTTTTCTTGCAAACAACTGTTTCTCTTACAGAGGATGCCCGAATGATTTTCCAACCAACTAGTTCTTCAGAAGGTTTTTGACATATATAATTGGGAAACTTGCTTGGAAGTTGTAAAGATTAAGAAAAATGCAATTGTATTTCTGTAGATCACTGTAAATGTGATGACTGTAGGTGGCTTAAAAAATATGAAACATGATTAACCCTTCCAACATTTACCTGTGTAACCTCTCCATAAAGAACTGAAAATTGTGATTGTAAACATTTATAAGGCGCTGATTGAAGAACAGAACTTTCCGACATATTGTTCATCTGAAAAATCAAGTTATGGAAAGTAAACTTAGAACATGACTACCACTGAAATTGATACAGCAATGGAAAGAATGGCCTAGCCCCAAATTTATTTTGAGCCACAGATGGAGCAAGTCACTTAGTACCTCTAATTTCAGTTTTTCTAGCTCTTGTTGGCTTGTGATAAAATTTTCATTCACTTTCTCTAACTCTTCAAGTCTTGTTTTTGCCAAATCCCTCAAGTCCTCCAGCTCCAAGGATACTTCATCACTCTGATTTCAAATAGATGAAAAAATACTATTAATAATTCAATTTTGACTCTAAGAAGTTGGTAGACACTAAGAAGAAGTTGTAGAAACAAATCATTTAAAGCCAACTAGAATTTAGGCACTTGACCTTTTCAACCCCTATTGCTTCAGTTTTATCTCTTTTGCTCTTGTTAAGTTAACCTATGTGCCCCCTTCCTCAAAAACAATGTTGTATTGCATTTCCATAAACTTTAAGCCATATACAGTAAGCTACAGTGTACAGGTAACATTAAATGGGAAAGGGGGAGTCTTGTCAGTGACTTAGAGTGTGGTAAAAACAGGAGTGATATTCCACACACAAATGGAACTCTTCAAATATGACATGTGAACTAATTTTGAAGCTGTCTGTAAGTAACCCCATAAAATTGGATTAGTTTGTGGCAACATATACACCTGCAGTTAGTTTATGAAATTGCTAATGACCATAACTGAGGCAACTGCTAGGAAAGTTTGTATTAAGATCTAATTACACAGCAGATGATGCCTACAGCTGTAGTGGACGTAATGTACAGTGTAATTTAGAGATGTTTTCACTGAAGAATGTGCAGAGAAAATTGATTTGAATGCTAAGTTTTTTACTTGACTGAAAGAGGTAAATGTTTTCCACATTTAACTTTACTTTGCAAAATATTTCTTTTATTTTAATTACAGAAACACTTTGCTTAAGTGTTTAATACCTGAGCTGGACCACTTTCACCTGGTTCACCTGGTGTTGTTGTTCCTTCACGCAGTCTCTTATTGATATCTTCCAACTCATTCAATCTTTTAACTAAGTTAGCAACACGGTGATTAGCTTTTTGCAGATCATATGAAGCATCTTGCACCTCAGTGTTCAGTTGAGCAATCTCTTTTTGACCCAATGCATATTTGTCTCGAATTTCTGAAAACTGAAAAAAAAACCTGATTTTTAAGAGAACTTCCTATTACCAGGTGAGGTATGTGCATTCTTTTCAAAGTTACTACCAATTTTGTCATTATTTTCATAAAGGGCCCCTGGCATCACTTTTTTACAGGTTAATGATAAGAAAATTTTTTCTATGTAACTCTACATTGTTTCCATCTTACTTGACCATATTTGAATATTTCTTGTAGATTGATAGTGCTGAACTTGATGACATCATCAGGACACATGACATGATTCAGAACAAAAAACAAGAAATAAAAATGAATAATTTTAATTGTTGGGCACAAACTCTTCAGTCACACCTGAAAAAAAATTGCTTTCAATTGATATTCTAAAAGCACAGAGTATTTGTTTTGATTGTAAATGGTTGAAATAATTGCCAAACTAATATTTATGATCATTATTTAATAACAAGATCTGGACATGCAACTGTGTTCACCTCTAGTGATGTAGTTTGCTGCTTTTGATGAAGGGCGGTGACCAACTCCCTTAACTGCTTATTGTCTGACTCTAGGTCAGATTTTACTGATTCAGCAGAATGTGACTCTGAAACTGTAGTTTCCTCTTGTTCTTGTTGATTCTCATCTTAGAAATGAATAACAATATTGTAAATTAGAACCATTTAATGAATTTGATCCATCAACAGGTGTCACCTGATGCCCCATTCATATTGAAATGTAACCAATAATTTTCCAATCACTGACGCTCACAGGACATGTCTTTCAGTTGGTAACTTTACCTTTATTTTCCTCTTTTTCAGCTGCAATCTGAAATTTTTTGTCTAGTTTCTCTTCCACAGACCTTGATGTAAATGGCCCAGACATCTCTACATAATGTAACAGCTTTCTTGTGTGTTCTTTGGTGGCATCAGATCTCTTTATCAATTCTTCCGCAACTTGTTCAGAATCTAAGTTGGCTAGGTAGTCCAAGTAGGAAAGAGTGGCCTCGTTGGATGTCTGTTCTGAATCTTCCTCCACAATACCTTCAAATCTTTGTAGTATTGTTTTAATGTCTTCATCAAGCTGTTTTATGAAATGTAAAGAACATAATAAACTGCTGAAATGTAATCAGTTTTTACTTGCATGACTTTGCCAGCCAGTACCTAACAACAGTGAGGAAAATTTTAAAAAATTTAGATCAATTGTGTTTTCATCCCCAAAATCATGCAAATTTACATCAGACAGTTTCTCAAAAGCCAGGATTCAACTCAAACCAAGTTTTGATTCAATAAGTTTCCAAATATCTTTTCCAAGAGATTGTAAACTTATCTACAGTATTTACATTCTAGATCAAGTGTTTTTTGTCCCCAAAAATTAAGAAAATTAACAAACAAACTGTTTCGTTATCTATTAACAAATCTCATCATTTTTTGGCTCCCATCTTATAATGAAGAAATGTTTTGATTTTCTAAAAAGTGCAAGATTTTTCTAAAATAACCAGAAATCCTTACTCATTCATTATTGGGAAGAAAGAATGCCTCTTTACTTACATGCACAGTACCTACATTGTTATCACAGTGAACAATAACTAACTTACTTCATATTGTAACAGCAGTATGGAAACTGTCTAAAAAAAATTTGGCCACACTTTTACATTCAGAGATTGTGTTTTCTTTTGTTTTCAAAATTCATAATCATTACCTGCATCCAGTGCCTGTTGAAGACAGAAATAATGGCAAAGTCAGAATCTCTCTTCTCTTTCATGGCATGTATTTGTTCTGTTAACTTCTCTTCACTAGTCTTAAGTTCTTCAAGTCTTTCACATAATTTCTTGTTTTGGAATTGCAAAACTTTCAAGTTCATTTCATCCTGTAAAAAAATTTAAGGAAGAATATTAAATAACTGGTTGGCCAGGAGTGGTTTCTAAAAAATTACATATATGCATTTTTATGACTGTGGAGCTTGACAGCTTTGAAGTGGAACATACTCCTTCAAGAATGAGAGAAGTGTACATTTTAATAGCTCATTAACTCATCAGCTCTGCAGTGGACTTGACTTGCAAGCTGCCTTGAGGAATGGAACAGTCTGACCAAAACTTGAAAGAAACTGAATAAAGGGGGGTAAGTTTCTAAAACTGTGGTGCTGCATCAGTGGGAGAGTATAGCAGGTAATTTAGTGTTAACAACTGAGTTGAAAATGTAAATTGGCCACCATAAAGAGTAAGAAAGCTGATGTTTTGAGTGTTAGCCCTTTGTCAGTGGTCTGGCTGACTTGGAATGAAATGATCATGGAACAAAGTGACCCTAATTTATCAAGCCACTGCATTCAAATAGCTCAGCAACTTGTCAGCTCTGCAGTAGACTTGATTGGCGAGTTCCCAAGCCAAATAAACTGCTTCAACTTGGATGATGAACTGACATTCACCACACATGTTGAACTTATCTATGACATGCTTACCTGTACTCCATGTGTGTTATCTTTCTTTCATTTACAGTTCACAAAAAATATATCCAGCTACAACAATTAATGCTTGAGAATGCACGTCTGCTATTGTTTATTTCACTTCCTACACACAGCATTGGGCAAGCACAGCATTTTTCATGGCCCCGAAACATGTCACAACTACATGTTGATGAATTTGTCAATTATTATACAAACGCAATGCACAAGAAGGCATTTATGACACTTCAAGTCACATCTCTGACAAATTGAAAAAGAAAAATCCATCCTCAATTCCAGCAAGGTTTGCTATTTTAGAATTCGAACAATAAGCTTAGTAGTGGAATGATGTGACGATATTTCAGAACAATTTGACCTTCACTTGGAACGAAAGTAATTCATCAAACGACCTCAGTGGAATATCTTCTAAAGTGGTCTTTTATCCTGTAGTAATACCTTATGACTATTTTCTGTTTGGATTTTGATAACCCTTGACGAGACCATCTTTACGTACTTAGCCATCGGCCGGGTACAATTAGATCCGCATTACTAAATGTAGGCAACGTCCTTAGTTACAATCATGTTAAGTAACAGTTGTTGGCTTTTAAGTGTCACAGTGTTTTGACCACATATATAACATATATATAACTGTCACGAAATTGCCATCTTACATCAATACCTAGGGTAAATTTATTTATCAAAAGTCACACAACATGACCGTACAAAACGTACTGTGAAGGAAAAGTAAAAAGCCAACATGAATCAACCCACCTCGGTGGAAACAGATCCGATGTTTACCGAAGGAATCAACTTTGTTTGAACCGGCTTCTTCGTTGGGGGCTCCCCTGACGTATCTGGTTGCGATCGTTTCATACTAGTCTTAAATCTAAGCTAAGTTCTTTTCACCGAATTTGTTTTGGACGGATTTTTTGACAGTCCTTTCTTAACAATGCTTTCTAAAAGTCGCCATGTTGTTTAAACATGTGATAGCGCGAGCATTAAATACAATTGGCCAGCGGCTTATCAACCAAGCGATAGCATTATAATGCTAATTGAAGGACATTCATCATTTGAAGGACATTCCATTATATGTCGAAGTTTTAGCAGGTAACAGTAGAAAGCTGAATAATTATTTTAGAGTGAGCTTTTGTTAGTCCGTGTCAGCTTGTGTGATGTGAGCCTTACTGTATTATAAAATAAGCTGAGTCATACACGTATTTTAATTGGTTCTTACACATCCCCTGTTGAAATATACAAAGATGATATCACCACTTACAACGCTAAATTTTGCTCCTTTAATACTGGTACATGTGGATTCTATGTTGCAGTGGTTCTGTGCAGTAATAGACCATAGACGACATCACAATTTTGTAAAACATCACTGATCAGTGACACACTCAGCTGTGCTTCGTGAGCCACTTACTACAGTACCGCCCGCGTACACGTCAACTGCGCAGACGAATTTCATGCGCCCCGACGCAAGGTAGTCAGACGCGTATGTACGATTTTTTTGCGCGCACGGTCGAAAAAAATGCGCGATTCACGTGTCTTTGTTATTCAGTGCTATAAGTTTCTTTTGTATTTCATTGTTGTATTAAACAAAGGACTTCAAGGCTTGAAAAAGCGGCGAGAAGACAACGGAAAATTTACATAATGAAAAAAGCTATCATGTTACACTCGCGCAAGTCGCGTCGCTTCACGAATTTTTCGCATAACGAGCGGTAGCAGTAGATTTGCTTGATTTGAGTTGTTGATGAATCAGCTGGGGGAAGGAAAATGTCACTTACTTAAGGCTTCGAAACACGAGTTTCATTGAGCAAGTAACGAGACAAATACTCACTAATATACTTCTCAACTATTCATTGCAATCAGCGCTCCCTAAGATGATTACGTCGCGGAATGTAAACAATTTGGTGTTTGCATCGCAGGTTATGATTTCTTCGAAACTTCAAACCCACCTCGATCATCTTCGGTAAGGATCAGAAGGAAAATACACTTTTTAAGAATATGATTGGTGTTCTGTTTTATTCATTGCAGTCGGCGCCCGCTTCAGTGTTTACACACCGGAATGTAGACAGTTTCATTTCGCATCGCTCGTGATGTAAATCGTGCAAATATATATTAGCCACCTCCGGAAAGTTATTCCGGCCGTAGTCCAACGTGAAGGAAGAGCGTCGGGATACTAAAAGCTTCCATAATAAACAAACGGCTCCTTTAGGAGCCACCAATTTTACAAAATTCTTTATAAAATTATTCAAATAGTACGCGCGCTCTGATTGGCTATAAAACCATTTTACATGAGTGTATGTAAACACGGTTTTCGTTCCTCTTTCATTAGTTATTTTAAAAAAGAAATGTAAAATGGTTTCTGTGTTTACATTGCCTGATGTAAACACTTGGGAGGTTGGGAGAACACTCTATAAGCTGGAAACCACTCCACTTCGCGTCGTGGTTTCCTATGCTTGTCTCATGTTCTCCCAACCTCCCGCGTGTTTACATCAGGCTATGTAAACACGGAAACCATTTTACATTTCTTCACTGATTACTGTGTTGAACTACACAAGTTCAATTATTGCCATCTTGATGTTTTGCCTAGTTGCACGCGCTGGCGAGTCTTAAATAAACTTGAACTACATGTATCCTGCAGTTCATTTTTCTGTTCCATTTTTTCGAGCAATTTGGTGAACATTGATCGATGATTCAAAAAATATCGAAATAAAAAGCAAATCTGGTTTCTCATAAAAAAAATTGCATATGAGTTAGAGCAAGACACAGTCGTGACAAGTAATCATACTGTAACACAACACCATTAAAATAAGAGAGTAGCACTTATTAGTTTTTGTATTAAGGGTGAGATGAATGAACCAGTTTTTGAGAACAGCATGTTCACCAATGACAAACACTATGAAATAAGCATTCATGTGTGGGTTTGCATTCTGGATCCATGTTTTTCAGTTAACATAATTATATGCAAGCAGTACTGTAGCTCTTACGACATTTTGATGTCATCTCTGATGTGTGATCTACATGACTTACAGAAGAGCTGCTTGGCAACAAACATAAAAACTACCAGTATTTGTTAATCTGACCATACATGTAGCTTTCAGAACCAGGGGGTTTTTTGGGTGCTCAATGAAAATAAAGGCAGTGGAGAGGTGAAACAAGCAGTATTGCCTTAGTTTCTTCAGGCTGTCCACAGGCATGCATGACTGGTCTTCATTTTTCAATATGTATTCAGATAATTCCATCTCTCCTTGCAGTAAAAGTTTAGACTGAGTTGCTATGACAATTTGCATTCAGTAGTATACCAAACCCCATTATCTCATGCTAGCCTGTGACTGCCCACCTGTTAACTATGCATTAAAAAAATTGTTTGCTGTTTAATCACACATCTCTGAAAATAAATTGAGAGCACCAAGACAATTGATGTGAAAATCCCTGTGTGAATGCTTTCCACAAAAACTCTGAAGTTCTTCAGAAATCTCTGGGCAATGTTTTTTTTTCCATGAGGTATTCTCAGGAAAAAAAACTTACCCTATTCAACTCTGAAAAAATTTTATTTTAGGTGTACATCACAGTAACAAAGGTCATTGCTTAATTGCAGCTCCATTTTCTGGGACAGAAGCTGGAAAACTGATCAAAGTACATGTTAATTACACAGAATGCTGTCAAATTTTGAAGTGAAGATACAGGACATTCAAGATGCTGCAAAAAGAATTGAGCCATATGTACACAAAACGCCAGTGATGACATCCTCAACTCTTGACAGAATGGCTGGCAGAGCAGTTCATTTTAAGTGTGAAATCTTTCAAAAAATAGGAGCTTTCAAGGTAAATGTCTTCCTATGTAAAAGACTTTTAAGTAGGACATTGAAATGTAATCTAACGAGTAGCATCTTTTCCACTTATTTTGAAAGTATCCTAATAATTATATTTTGAAGCTGCTTAGGAAGGAGAGATGAAGGAAATGACTCTAATCTATGGATTTACATAATTCCCCTTTATGAAGAGGTTAGGTCGTCCAATTTTGGCTATTGGTCATTCCAGAGACTATCAGGATACAAGCTTAGAACTATGCAAGAGTTTGCACAGGGCTCAAATCTCAAGTTTGCTCAAATATGCTGTAAAAGAATATTTTTGAAAAAACCTCAGACCTTTGACCCCCAAAAAACTTGACCCCCTAAATATTATACCCAGGATATCTTGAAAATTCAGACCCCCTTAAACTTATATCAGGGATATCTTGAAAACTCAGACCCCCCAAAAGAATCATACCCGAGATATAATGAAAACTCAGACACCCCTAAAAATTCATACCCCTTGTTACCTCAAAAAGCCCCAGACCCTAAAAATCATATATTTTTATGTCTTTAAGACTCAGCCCCACTCATTTTGAATAATTTGTGAGATTTCAATACTAAGTAATTTCAAGTATTTAAATCACAACATATAATAGAGCCATTATGTGCATCTCATAAGTACATGTAGGTTATCTTTGATCTCTTCAAGTGTTAGGAAATAAGGATTCAGTTTGTGAATTAAAACAAATTTGCAAACGTTTTCAAAGAATAAGGTACATTTGGGAGAAATGTGTGTTGCCTGATACTTTTCACAACACAGTGACCAAATTCTCCCATTTGAAGTCTTCATCATAAGATTAACAGTGTCAAGAATTTCACTATGACAATGTCATGCAATAAAACCAAACAATTTGATACTTACAACTAAAGGTTGGTGTAATATACAAATAGGAGAAAATAGCAATTGACTGTGGGACCTGGAGGAGATAGTTCTAATATCTTAAGAAATTGTCTAACAAAGAGTATCTTTTTCAGATTAGAGGGGCAATGAATGCTGTTATTCAGTTGTTGAATTCTTTGCCTGATGATCAAAGACCTGTGCTGGTGACTCACAGTAGTGGAAACCATGCTCAAGCAATTGCTCTTTCATCAAAAATCATGGGACTGCAGGCTTTTATTGCTATGCCAATAAATGCTCCCTCAGTTAAGAAGGCTGCAGTAAGAGAATATGGTGCAACTATTGTTGACTGTGGTACATCAGCTGAGGTACATCATTGGTAAAGAAAAGATATGTAACTAGGAATTAGAAAAAGATTACATTCAATTATGAATGACACCCTACTATCTCAGTTCCTCTCTTTACATCTCCACTTCCAGGGAGAAAGAAAGACTCTGGGAAAATAGAGTCAATGCAAATTTTCCGAAACAGAACATTTGCAATCCTAGGCTATTTGATTGTCATTCTCAGAAATAATCAAAATGCATAGTTGAAAATGTAAAAAATTTATTCGAAAGAAAATATCCACAGAATGACCTTAGTATGTTGTAATTAATGTGTAATTGTACCAATCATTTTCCAGGAGTTTTAAATCCTGAATAAAAAGTTTTAACCCACTTATCAGCTCACATTTGTGGTATGTCCTAACAATTTTTCTCCCAACTGGTAAACCAAACTAATGAGGACCAAATGCAACAATTAACTTTGTATGCCTTTTTTCAGGACAGGGAAGCAACTTCTCAAAGAATCCTTCAAGAGACTAGTAATTCCTATCTTATACCTCCTTTTGATCATCCTCACATTATTGCTGGTCAGGGTACTCTTGGTCTGGAAATATTGGAACAGGTCTTAGTATTGAGCAGATTTGTGAAATTGTAATTAAAGTTCTTTTGTAGTTATAAGCAATTGGTAGTTATAATTATTTTCTAATTACTGCCCTTCATTTTTTTCTCACTAATTAACCCTATATTTACTTGATGTTATTAATGATTAAGCTAAGCCCAGCATGTACCTGCTCGTCAGTTTATTTGTTTGTGTGTTTGATTGGTGTTAATTGAAATTGACCAGGGATTAATTATTTTCTAGCTGTGATATTTAAGGTCAACTTTACCAGCCATTTTTTTTTTGGCATTATTTGTTTTGTTTTGCTCACTCATGGTGTTGTTCAAGATTATTCCTATTTGGTCCCTTTCTTTTATGCAGTTTTCTACAATGTATTCATTTGCTGGTAAACTTTCCAGAGCAGTGGGATTTAATTTGCAAGCCGTCTGTCAAGAGGGCTACAATGAAGTACATTCATGTGAACCATTTTAAGAGGCTGGAGAATTTGATTGCAGGATCTGTTCACTCTGTTCTCTTGAAAATTAGTTTTTTTTGTTTTCTTTAAATCAAATTTAGCAATCATTCCTTGTCAGTGCTTCACTTGACTAGACAGATACTGGTAGCAACTAGTATAGACATAATATGTCTACATATTAGTGTTGGATACAACAGGGAATGTTTTGGAAATTGTGTGATTTAGATAATCTCCCTTTCACTGCCTCTCTCTAATATCAATCCCACAGCCACGGTACACTTCACACAAGACAGTCAGTATACAACACAACTTTTCTATGTAAATCTACAGTACAGCTCAAAGATAAGGAGACATCACACACTAGTGCCATACGCTTGTCTTACCTGTCTGAGTCTGTAAACAGACTAGTCTAAAAACATGTTTAGATGACATGTAAAACAGTTATGAAAATGTCAATGGAAACGGGTTTATTTGGAATCTGGTTATTCTTTCCTTTAATGTTAAGAATGAAATGGTTCATGAACAGTGATCAGTTGCAGTAGATATAAAAGGAGGATCCTGATGCATTTTGAAATCAACCTTCATATCAGCCTGGATTTCAAAGAACATTTCTGACACATTTTGGAAACAACCCTGATTTCTAGGCAACTCATAAATCTACCTTGATTTCAATGCAACTTGAAATTTTCACAGGTGAGCAGAGGAGGGTGCAACTATGAACAGTTCTCTCAAAAAATTATCTTGTCATGCCATTGGGGTAATGCACTAAAGCACTGGAATAATTGCTAAATTTGTTTTAAAGAAAACAAAAAACAATTTATTGTCAAGGGAACAGACTGAACAGATCCTGCAATCAAGGTCTCCAACCTCTTAAAGTCAATGTCTGGTCTTAGACTTGTTCTATTTGTGTGAATGCACATAGTTTGGACCCCTTATCTTTAAGCTTCACTGTACTCAAGAGCGATCTCTTTAACTTATGGTTTATGTGGTCCATAGGTGCCAAACTTGGATGCAATAATTGTCCCAGTTGGTGGTGGTGGTATGCTGAGTGGGATTGCTATAGCTGTCAAAGCATTGAAGCCTGATATAAAAATTTATGCAGCTGAACCTGCAAATGCTGATGACTGTGCTAAGTCATTTGCTGCAAATGAAAGGATTCCACTTCAAGGTATGGTGTTTTGAGTTGTAGTCAAAACAGATCCCAGACTGAATCAATGCCTGTGATATTTATGATTTGGATTTGTTGGCTGATGCTGTGATAAGTGGAATCCTACATCCCCCAAGAGTGACAAGTTGTGTTGTCTAGAGATATTAGCTTCCCAATGTTCTGTCAGATATTAAACTTTTCATGCTTTTGAATGAAAGATCCTCTAAAAAAATTGAGCTTGCATCTGCCCCATTTAGTAATATTTTGGCATGTAAGGGACTGCTTGCTTTTAGTATACAGATGTAAACATTTTCGAATACAGGAATTTCGCCTATTGATATTCACATCTTATTGGTCAATTTCACACCCCAATCCATGCTTGTAAAGTGTAGATCCAAATGTAATAAGAGGGTAGTCTCCCAATAATCTCTTTCATAGCTTTTGTTGAACGCAGCTATGAGAGAAATCCTATAATGTGATTGAACAATGGCTACCAAAAGCCAGAGCACAGAGATCAAATCAGCATAATTACTTGGAAAGTTGCAGGAAGGTGGCAAAAGCTGGAAGAAAATAGCAATATCATGCATGGGCCAAAGGAGCATTTTAAAGCATTAGAATAGCTAAGGATTTCAAGAGTCATTGACGTTTACATGTAATTAATTCAGTGATAAAATATATATGGACAAACTTGACTGTGGGAAAATTAAGTTGAGGGTATGGGTATTTGTTTTTAAGCCTCTTTGTCAATATTATTTACATTCCTTTTTATAGCATGTTGTCATTGGCAACACAGGCAATCTAAGTTTAATGGACCTGTAACCTACCGGGTGACACACTGTTAGGTTGTGCAACAGACTGTTGACAGTTTTTTTAGATGCCATCTGCATTTATTATTCTGCAGAGTTGGATAGTTACCATACTTGTATGTGATTTTCTGGAAGCTTTGCTTTTGAGATAAGAGCAACCTTGCATTGCTGCAATACAAGTAATTACAAATTCACAACCCTGTTTTATCTCTAGTTTAAGCACTTAATGCACAAGTTGGCCATAGGTATTCTTTGATTTAACAGCTGCATGAGGAGAAAAATACTAACAGTCATCTAAGAGTGCTAATCTGTGGGAAATGAAAACATGTTAAATGTTAAGTCTCTACAACAAAAAAGAATACCTCTTATGCCTTGCTGATGGCATCTAGCAATTCTTGGTGTTTTGAGGATTCTTTGCCATCATTGTTATTATCTTGTCCAGAAATCAAATATAAAGATTAATTGGGTTTAGGGTTTTTGGTGAAATAGCTCTCTCCAGACGAGTAATGTATTTTTGGTCAGCCAAGTAATGACAATACATTACAGATTTACCGATGAAAACAATGAGCTTAAGCCCTCTGTGTCTTTACAGGCCCTCCTAGTACTATAGCAGATGGATTGAGGACAAGTGTAGGCCATGTAACATGGCCAATCATTAAAGACAAAGTAACTGATGTCATAACGGTCACAGAAGAAGAAATCGTAACTGCAATGAGAGTACTGTGGGAAAGAATGAAGCTTCTTATTGAGCCATCAGCAGCTGTAGGTGTGGCAGCCATTTTGTCAGAGAGATTCAGAGCACTTCCTAACCTGAGGAATGTTGCTGTAGTGTTGTGTGGTGGCAATGTAGACCTCGATAATCTCCCTTGGAAGAAGTAACAACTGCAATTCAGTTTTGGGAAGAGATGCAAACAAATAAATTAGGGACTACCAAATAGCATGCACTGGAGGTGTCTTTTCAGGACAAGTTAACATTTAGAAGCTGGTTTATACAACTACCCATGTTTGATATGGCATTAGAGTCCACCTTAAGGGAAGGAAGCAGAGAAAGGCAAAATATTAGTTATCCTATCCCCTCCCCTCTCTCTCTCTTTTTGACCGTTGCTCACCCCCTCCCTCCATAAAGCAAATTTCCTTCTCTCCCCGGCCTTCCTCTGCTGTAAAAATCAAAGATGGCAGCTATAATTTTTCACTTAGATACTACTGAGTACTTGCCTGCCAAAATTATGCCTAATCTTCAGGCCAACTACAAAGTTCAATTTTCCTCTCATGTGGAATTGGTAACATTGGTCTAGCAAGATATCATGTATTGATGTAAAGCTGTAATATACCAGACAGTGAAAGGCCCCCCATAGGATGATGCATACAAATGAGATTGACTCGCATAGCTGATAAGATTTTTCAAAGTATGTCTAATGTATAACAAAAAAGTTACATGGCAAATAAATTGATACAAATATTTGTGTTGTGCTAGTTTGAATTTTCCTCCAAGCATTTCACTGTAACAAGATGTAATTGCGTTGTTGATATTGAATATACAGTGCATTAGATGGGTCAAAGTTTTCCATTGTCCATTGAGAATATTTATTATACAGAAACTCAAGGGACTTAGCCTGATCCAGTTAGTATAATGCAGCAGAATAGTAACCTACATGATCATAGAGGAGGAGCAAAAAGCAAGTTTTTGGGTTGGGTTGGATTAGCCAAAACCTCCCTTGCTTTTCACTCCACCACTATTATTGTGTTGTTTACTATTTTGCTCTGTTTTACCAACTGAACACCTAGGACTTAAAAGAGAAACAGTACATATTTTTGTTGAAGATTTATCAGTACTTCTGATGAGGACTCGAATATTCACTGGGATTCTTTGTTAGAAGACCAACAAACTCTGAAAGCAGGGTAACTGGCTTTGTGAAAATCCTCTTGCACTGCTTTCCAGCAAAACAAGTGTAACAATTTCAAAACCATAAATTTTTAGCTATCATTTTATTGCAATTAGATGTTCAATATACAACCAAAGACTTAATTCCAAGAGAAAGATTGCTAGATTTTCAGTTTTTTTTAACCATTTCAAAAATTGTACCAGTCAAACCTTGCAAAGATCAGTTTTACTTCTGAGTTATAACAAACTATTCATCACTGTCATCATAGGCAGTTGCATTCTTAGCAGAATTGCGTGCTTTTTTCCTCGCCAGATATCGCTCTTTAGCAGATGAAACAGTTTCACCTGTGCTGCGCTTGGCAAATTTGCTAAGAGACTCCTCTCTCAATGTTTCTTTGATTTCTTTGGCAACTTTCTCACTTTTCTTTTTATTCTTGTCTAGTGCCCTCATGTCATCCTGAGAATACTCTCTATAATAGATGTGTTTGTCAGCTTTATTCTTAGCATCATGGCCTGATTGATGTGGTTTGAAGCCACTGGAATGTCTGTGAATCCCCAATTTCTCATGCTCCCTATCACTGCACCTTCTTTGTTTCTGGTTTAACAAATCAGCTGAATGTTGAACTTTGTCATTCTCATTGTCGTTTCGTTTGTGATTTTTGTGATCATGGATTCTCACATGTTGGGAAGGAACTCTTGTATGTCTTGGGTTTTCTTCTAATCCTTGATCTCTTAAATATTTACTCTCATTTCTATCTCGGTGTTTTTCTTTCTTTCTACTGTCTGACATTTCTTGAGGTGCCCTTTCATCCTTTCCTTGAGATTCTCTGATGTCATTTTCCATGTTTGGCAAGTCAATCTTTGTTGTATCTTTGGCAGTAAATGATCCTCCCAGTGACATGTTTTGATTCAGAAGATTGCGATAAAACAAACTTAGGTCCTTCTGCTTTGTGACATCATTGGCAGCTGAAAGGAAAAAATAACTCAATTAAGCAGCCAATAAATCATTCACCCAGTCATATGTGGTCTCCTTTCAATGGAATATTGTCACAAAGAACAACTGTAAAAGAGATTGGCAGCCAGCTTGTACAAGTATTGTAACTCAGTTCGTCAATCATTCAATTATGAATATCTTTGATTAATTAGTCATTAGTTTTCCAGATAGTCAACCAGGTAGCAAGTCAGTAAGTCACTCTCTCTTTCAAAACTCACTTTAATTGAAAGGCTCAGAGCAAGAACGATCCCTTGATTTTTCAAAAATGGCCGAAAAATCAAGGGATCATTCTTGCTCTGAGCCTTTCAATTCATTCCACCAATAAGCCAAATACCTCAACAGTAATCCAGTCAGATGGCTAATTAGTTGACAACCAGCAATCCCTCTTTGCTAGTTTAGTTCATGATGCTAAATGTTCCATGAGAGAATAAATGATGGCCACACAAACACTAGAAGAACCCCCAAACTATTCCCTTAAAGCAAGGCATAGGGCTCCATGATTTCTTGTGTTCTGATTTTAGCCTTGTTGAGAAGATGAGAGACGGGTCACCTTCATGTGCCAACATTTGATCTCAGCCAACTTAACAAGCACTTTAAAATTTGGAGTTCAATGTTTTTCTGCTTTCAGTCAACTTTGACTATCATTGTTGGGGAGGTACTGCTTTTAGTCTTGGTAAGTGGTCTAATTGGTTTTTCAGTTGATTAGTCAGTCTGCTAGCCAGCAAGCCAGTCAGTTTGTGAGTTAGCCAAACAAACCTTTTTTAAGGGTATGATTACCAAAATAGTCTTTATCATATAAACTACAGTGTTATACAAGGATTTCCAGCCCTTAGACAAGCTGTTACAACACACATGAAAAAATATTGTATTTTTTCATGTGTGTTTGATATCACTAATCAGCTGCTGACATGTCACTTGCCTTTTGCGCCACTCAGTCAGGTTCATGAATTAACAGTGACGCCCTCACCATTCTAAATCCAAGGTCATTTGCCTAATTTTTTTGGATTATGGCTGCTAAAACACTGAGACATCCATATTGCTTACAGATGGAAGAGAAGAAGAAAACCAAAATATGGAAAGAAAAACCAAAGCCACAGAGGCTTTGGTAATGGCATTTCTTGCATATAAAAACAAACATCGACAACTAGAAGATTTGCTGCAGGCCGATTTTGGCCATGTACCTGAAAGATTTCTCCTGTCAGTAAGGACCAAGTCAATAACTAAGAATTTTGTATATTGAAAATTTTGCTGATTGTTTCTTTTTGTAGTGTGTTTCAATGCATTTTTTCATCTTGAGCCTTTGTGCCAATGCACTTTACAATTTTTATTTGGGAATTGTCTATTCCTTTGTTTTCATTCATCAGTTAAGTGGACTTTTCTTGTCGGTAAAGGGCTATTGTGTTTTTATGATAAACAAAACAATACATGGTTGTTTGTAGATATGAAATTTCTCTTTCTTGTTCAACTCTACATTTCACTTGTTTGCTGCACTCACTCATGAGCTATTGAGTTAAACACTTGAAGAGAAATTCCATATCTACAATAAACCATGTATCATTCTCTATACATATCAATCAGCACTTCTCTCCATGCACAGAAGAGAATGACTCAGCAGTCTGTGATGGTTTGCTACACCTCCATTGCAAGATGATTCAATTTTGGGTTTAGAGGTATATACTTTAACCACTGCAAGAAAATTATGCAAAAAGAAGTATTCAAATCACCATCAATAGCATCTTGCCATTTGATTCTCTCTTCCTCCTCAAGTTGTTCTTGCATTTTCTTACGGAATCTGTTCATATTTATGTTAAGGTGGTGCAACAAGTATGTGGATACTGAAAGTTTTTTTCTTTTCCAGGATGGAATACTAGTCATCTTATTCCAAATCCCTTAGCTAAGGTATTACTTTCTTGAGTAACCAACATTTCCTAGTGCCATTTAAAGCCTGAGCTGAGCTGAGCTGAGATATTACCCCAAAAAGAGCTCTTGGACAACAACAACTAATTTTAAATCAATTACAACAAAGAAGTTCTTAGGTTGAGTGAAGATTTCAAAAGATACGCCTCAGTAACAAAAGCTTCTTTATCATCAAACTCTCCTTTCTCTTGTTCTCTTTCCTTTTGTACTTGTCGCTCGACTGTCCTTTCAAATTCCCTCTTCCGAGCAGCTGCAGCCTTCAACAAGCTCTCAATGTACTTGGGCTAAGTATTTAAACAGAATATTTAGGGTTTGGTAAAATGAATTCATTAAGAGTGTCCATCCCCTCTCCTGTATGGGATGATGTTCATAGCTAGAAACCTCCCCCACCACCCCCCCAACATTTTTCAGCAGAGGAGAGGTGATGCAATCCATAAAATTAATACAAATTACCATGCCTAGCACTCAAAAAAGGATCTATTCATTGGGAATCTGGTGTACTTTTTATCATAATTATTGGATGTAGATGAGTTCTAGTACCTCAGTCTATGGTTTATACCCTAACACCATGTATGTTTACATAGTTACAACTGGTTAACAGGATCAAATTACAGATAATATTTTAGGATCTTTTCAGCTATTGTACATATGCACATTTTGTACCTTTTTATCTTTCTTTGGAACTTTAAAACTTGCAGCTTTCTTTTTTTCTTCCATTTCTTCATAGACAGCATCATACTCATACACAGTAGGATCTTCTTTCAAAGCTTTCTGTATTTCAATCTGAGTCTAAACAGTTACATGACACTGTTAATCTAAAACTAGAACTGTCAGGTTTACATTAGGGGGAAACATTTCCCTGTTAACCAAATTCACTCCTTGATATTTGCCTCAGAAATAGAAAGAAACTCTTGTTCATGTTGTCAGTGACTAATAAGGGTAAAGACATCATGTCAATGAGGATACTCAGAAATAAAAGATAAAAATATCTAAACTTTTACTGCATGGTCTCCACTGACAACAAGATGGTGAAGGAACAATCCATCAGTAACACATTTACACCTAGAGCTATTTTGGCCATAGAGAGAGGACAATCATAAATTATGCAATGATTATTCTTTAATTAGTCACCTGTTTCATTTGCTTCTTCTTTTGTGATTCTTGAATTAGGGATAAATTCACTTCTTTGTGAGCTCTTTCCTGAAACAAATTTTATAGCTTACTCTGAGTAAAATGTGAGGATGAGCATTCCTTCTCATCTACATAGTATGATGCTGTGTTGAAAACATAAATTAACTAGTAGAGAGAGAATTCTTTAAGAATTCTATTTCTGCCAGTTTCTTCCTAGTTTCAGTGTATATGAAGATCATAAACAAGATCTGTAAGGTTATTAGGATAAAATTACCTCATCATCACTCGAATCATCACCAAACACAGCTGGTTTCTTCATCATAGGTTTGCATGTAGTTTTCTTGGATGGAATGATAAGCCCATACCTATGCATGTATAGGGTGTGTGAAATATGAGTTGTAATTTCTGCATCAAGAAACCATTACCAATTATACCCTAATATGGAAGTCAACATATCCAACACAACTTATCAACACAGGGATGAAATTAAAATATATCATTTGTTGCTACAATTATCATTATTGTTGTATTTTCATTTAATTTTTTTGCTTGCAACAAACCAAAGAATGGCAATCCTTTTTTCAGTAGACCAAGTATCTCTTCAGAGGTAAATGGTTTTTGCTAAACACCTGAGGAGACTAGTTGTTTAAAGGCCAATTAGCATTAACCCAGGGTTAAATTTTAATATCAGTTTCTTCGATTCTTTGTTCAAAAGCCTTTCTCAGACAATTTGTCATTCAATCATCAAATTGTAGACAAGAATTACACTGATACAACCAATAGTCATGTATCAAATATTACATAATAGTAACAGGATGGAGTGAAGTCCAATTCGCTCTGTAATCAAACAAGTGATTAACAAAATTGGACGACCACAAAGCAGGAGTCCAATTTGTCAATCAGGAGTCAATCATGATAACAGACAGACAGAATTGGATGACAAGAAGTTCTGTTACCAATTAATCATAACTGTTTTAATTACCAAAAACAAAAAAATATATTTGAGTCAAATATCTCCAGTAGAGACATTGTCTAAAGTAAAAATATTTCTAAATTTTGGAAATTCCTCAATTTTTTTTAAGGATAAGTGCCCGTTGCTTTGGTTATTGTGTTTAATTCTGTGATTGGTGGATTTGGCTGGGTGGACTTAGCATGATTGACTACTTCAACTATCCAATACAGGTGTCCAATTATAGCCAACTGTCTAATTACATTGTCCAATTACATTGTCCAATTACACCACAGAATGATAAGTGAAAAATAGAGCAGCAAATTACCAATCACATTTGTGGAAATTGTAATGGTTATGACAAATAATAATACTAATACAAATATAGATATCAATAATTAAACATAAGTATACCATAACAGAAATAAAAGAACAGTTAAAAAAATTAAAAATCCTATGATAACCTCTAAAATAAAGTAGATCTCCAGGATGAAATGACAGAATCAGGAAACTATAAAAAGGAACCTATTAAACAATAAAATGATTCTAACTCTGTTGGTTTGCTAGAAAAAAATTGCCCTAAGGTCTTTTAAAAACTTCGCACTGATGTCTTTTGTCGTAACGTTCTTAGTGCAGTCTGGATTTTCCTATCTCTACCTGTGGGCACAGTAACACTTTCACACATACTGTGTACATCTCTAGCTTCATTGTCAGTTTTCATGAATACATTTCATTTTGCCTGTTGGTCAGTATTTCTAAGTGCAGTATTTTTAAGCAAATCAAGGCCATTAATAATTTATTAATTATCTCTTTCTTTCTCTCAAATCAGCTTGGTTGCCAGCAAAAATCGGTTTTAAAATGAATGTGTGGTAGCAAATGTGTCATCACATGGGTGGACACACTGCCTAAAAACAGTTTGTAATTAATTTTAATCCTTCAAAAAAAGTAACTCAGAAAGTTAAAATTTTAAGGTATTTTTTCACAAAAGAATTAAAGGATGGAGTTTTCTTTCATTTTACATCTGAATTCTCTCAAACAATTTTCTCCGTGTAAAACAGTGAGCAAAGTAGGCGGTACTCAAGACCTCGGGCACAGTTTTTCCCAATACGAACCTCTCGGCTGGCAAATAACATATATATCCTTTCCCATCTTTGAACTACCCGGCCTTGAACTCACCAATTTGTTCGTATGAAAAGCGGTAGCTATTTACCGGTTGTCATACATTTTAGCATAACATCTTGGTAAGGCCTTGGAGTTAATGTGAGAAACTTTGAGGCTTGACAGACCAGAGTCATTTTCATTGTTAGAAGATAGTCTCAAAGATACGATGTACTCGATATTTTAAGTTTACCCAACGCTCCACTAGACAAAGACGAGTTCGACATTCAACCTGTCGTAGGAAGGAGTATCAGCCCATTCTTTTTTCTCTCTGAGTAAATAAATTTCATAGCTTGTAAAAACCATCAACGACTATAACAACTGAAGAATCCAATTGCGAGAGTTTTTCTATTTCATCATTTCTTCGTCAAAATGTGACCATTAAAGCAACCAGTAAATCAAAAGGTTATACAAACCTTTTTGGTTCTCCCATATCAATTTATTTTGTTCGACAAACGGCGCGTCTCCTACTACTTTAGTTTCCCCTCAGTATGAAATTACTTGCGTGTTATTCAGAGCCCTTTAGTCAGCGGATCTTCCATTGACTACTTAGTTGTTTATTTAAGCCAAACGTTGGAGAGACCTCGCCCCAGGGGTTTTTTTTCGGTCAGTTTTTCAAGATGGCGCCGTCCATGGCGCTAAATGCAAAGGATGTTAATTGGGGAAATATATATAACGGCGTAATATGCGACTAACACAGTCTATATACTGTAAGATTTTACGCCACCGACCCAGTCGGTAGATTAATTATAATAAATTAATATATAATGAAATTATATATCTGGCGTAAAATTTACATTATATATGTCACCGACCGGAAGAAATTACGCCGTTAGTTACTGGCGTAAAATCTTATATATATATATCACCGACTGGAAGAAATTACGCCGTTAGTTACTGGCGTAAAATCTTCCACATAAAGACTACCGACTGGAAGAAATTACGCCGTTAGTTACTGGCGTAAAATCTTACATATAAAGAATAAAAAGAATACAGAAGGGACAGTGACGTGGGTACTGTTCATTACCACTTTCACGGCACTGTCCAAAATCTAAAAATATCGAAATGAAGAGTTTTTTGAATGTGAAATGTCTCATAATGCATTCTGTCTAAATTCAAATGGCAAGGGATAACGTGGGTAATGACTGGTCTTGAAAATGCGAACTGGAACGATAACACATCCTAACACACGCACACGCACACAAAAAAAGCAATACAAGAGGGTCTCAATGGGGTTAACCGTTAGCCGGAAATTGGCCAAAATTTTAACCGATAGCCGTAAAAGCCATCACCCCATTGAGATCCTCAAACAAGACACTCGAATTCAAACTAGACTGTAAACATTTTTTTAAAGTTTATGGTAGGAGTACATATACGACTGTACAGTGAGAAATTTGTAACAAACGAAATGCCCGTAGAAGCTGTCCATACCTTGTCACTTTTCAAGCTTGGCTAAAAATTTGGCGCACCACTTACTAAGGTGGCCTCGCTAAAAAATGATAGAAAAAAGGAATAAACATTCCCGTTAATTAATTTTCACGCCAGCAGCAAACGGCGTAATTTCTTCCAGTCGGTTGTGTCATATCAAACTCACGGGGTACAAATAGTCTTAACATGAATACAGTGACCACGCCCACTTCAACGCTCCACTCAAATCGAGTGTAATTTTCGAACATTTTACCATCGTGCGGATTCTCTACGGAAAAAGCACTCAATGTACCTCTGAAATATTAAACCATAATATTGTGGCTTTCTATTTCGCTAATTTTCTAACTTGAAGGTAAAGTTTTTCCCTCGTCATTTTAACCTTTTCTCCGAGCGGTTCCGTGAAATTAACAAGGCATTTTTGTTCAAAACACAACCGAGCGAAGCGTCTTGGGTGATATCCCTTTTACGCAAGCGCAATTTTAAAATGTACCGCTAGAATCAAAAAGAGGAACAAATTTCCTTTGTTTTGATATGTAAAGTGTCGAACAAAAAGCAGATTTACCCTCGTCAAATGGCGTTTCAAAACAGCTGTATCTTCCTCCTTTTGATTTTTTCCTGTTTTGTGAGCGTGAAAGCAGTAGGAGAGGGATCGGGAAACTCAGAAAGCACTTCGGGAATTAATCTGCCATTGTTAACTTACGAGATAAACAAGTAAGATTTGTGAAGTTCATCGCAGTATGAAGTCTAAATAAATGCCTTTTTTAAGCTTGTTCGCTGGATTTTTCGTAAACTTCCCTGATTAATTTTTCGTTTCAGCTCACTAATCTATACTATTTCAAAGCAAAGAAGTTTTCAGAGAAATCCATGAGTCGGTCCTTTCAATAATTGTAAACAAAGTGTTTGAGCAATCAGGTATACGAGGTATAATAATCAATAGCCAGTCGGTTGTGTTTATATGTACGATTTTAAGCCAGTAACTAAAGGCGTAATTTCTTCCAGTCGGTAGTCTTTATATGGAAGATTTTACGCCAGTAACTAACGGCGTAATTCGGTATATTATATACTGTAAGATTTTACGCTGGTAACTAATGGCATAATTTCTTCCATTCAGTATATTATATACTGTAAGATTTTACGCCAGTAAGTAACGGCGTAATTTCTTCCAGTCGGTAAATTATATACTGTAAGATTTTACGCCGTTAGTTAACAGCTTAAAATCTTACTTATATATATACACCGACGCACATAGTGGCGTAAAATCTTACAGTCTATAGACTGTGTTAGTCACATATTACGCCGTTATCTAACTACCGGGGTGGCTGCGTTCAAGGTTGACCTCAGGTAAAATTTTGACGAACAATCTCTACCTAGCCAGGTGGACTTTGGATGGGCTCTTTGTAAAACACAAAAAGCAGCCGCCTTTTCTCAGAAAGCAAAGAATTATCTCCTAGACGTGTGCTTGACAGGGGAGGAAACTAGTAAGGTAACCGCCTCTTACTAAGAGACTACACCGGCCAGAAATATTGACTACGACTGACTGGTTGATAGAACAGCAAATCGCTCGATACTTCAGCCGGTTATCTGCCTTAACAAAAGTTGGTTATTGACGAGGTCACCCCTGTAAGTGTGAATGAGGACGAAGAGGCCGATGCCGATGTTCTAGCTTCAGAAGTCGAAACTGACCGAACAAGGCATAAGATAAGGAAGGACCTTGCAAAATTTAGACGAAGACTGTCACGCAACAGATGTTAGTTTTGCGGAGTTATGCATGGAAATGTTCGATGGCGGTAAGTGACGACAACAACACTATTTTAATTTTATTTTCGGGATAGTAGCACAGTTTTTTGTTTGAAAGAGTTATTAATATTCGCTCTCAAGCGAGAGCGCAGAATTTCTCGTCTGTAGAAGCCGAAGTTGTAGCACACTGGAACTTGTAATAATGTCAACCAACACGCAGCGTGACTTTAAAATCTCCTTAAATGTGCAATAATGATTATAAACAATCAAATTATAGACTGATGAATGCTTTGCACCATAAAAAAGCCATATTTGCTGATTTTAGAAAATCTCCGAAGTAATAAACGATAAAAGAAAGAAACGCTACGATTTTGACATGCATCTAAACGTGAAATTTTCCATCCCTACGAAAAATCTCAGCCGGTTGAAAAGTAAGTTTTTCACATATTTTAGCTTTCTTGATTAATTATTTTGTATGAAGAGCTAAAAAATGTAGGATTATTCGGTCAAGTGACCGGCCAGAGCCAGAATTGCGTGACAGGTGAAGTTGAGAGAAACTTGTCACAGTCGCAGATTTTAAAAGGCATCCAAGACAAAAATATGGTAGTGCCCAAAGATTTTTTTGATGGTCTTCAGAGATGAAATGATGGATTATAAAGGGTATTAAGATTAGTGTTGTAGCTTTCTGGCAAGGGGAGATATTTGACCTCGAAGTTGTCAAATATTTGGATGAATCGGAAAGTCTAAAAGCATTGTTGTTTATTTGCCTCTCTTAGTTGACAAGCCGTCAATCAAATTGACTGATACTTGCTTCGGACATTTAGTAAGGGTGCAATGATATGTGTGCAAACCCTCAGAGTAATTGGTTAAATACCATCGCAGTGAGAGCTTCATACATTTTACCTATTTTGAGGCGATTTCCTTGGTAAAAACCAAGAAAAACCGGGTGGATGGTCTATCTCCCCCCGGAAAAAACCAAAACAGAAACCACTTCGTCTTTTTTAGTTTTGGGGTAGACCTTTTAAACTGGCAAAGTTTCATTGAAATCGGTGTGATGTCATGTAGCACGACTGCCCGGTGCTCTCGTGGACACGCTCCTTATTCGTACTGGCCTTCTAATGCGTCTGCCAAACTTAATCACACTTCCACTGTATTCTGTCAAATATTTGGCCTCTCCCTTGTGATATGATATCACAGTCTGCTACCGTGGGAATATCTAAAACAACGCATGCCTGAGACGAGCGGCCCTATATTGGACGCCTATGTTGAAATTTGAGAAATTTACCTCTGTAACGGAACTCTTGTTTATTTATGTCCCTTCCTGTGATAATGCCTCCCACCCTTGGAACTACACAGAGAGTCTACTCTAAGAGTACGCTGCTGGTTCCTTAGAGAGGGCTCGTATGAACTCACAGGAAAAGAAGACACTTTCCGAGCTCTCAATAGTCAACCGCGTTTTGAACTCATTGCATTTCATTGATCTTATTGTTGATTATTCTTTGTGTTCTATTGTAACTTTTAGAAATCCTCCCTTGTGACGTCCGTGATGAAAAAGTCATGAATTAACACTCCCAGATCCCATACGTCCGGAATGGCTGCCTTCCGCACTTTTACTGACAAATGATTTGCATCTGAAATAGTCAGGACGAAGAGAAATCAACAATTAATTAACAAGTCAAAGATTTTTTTAAAGATCGTCCAAAGCTTAGTTGAATATCAACTTGGAAAATCTGACGTTTTGATTCGCATCATATCATAACGTTCCGTTAAACAACGCATCGGATGGCTTAGAAACCAGGTTCTTTGAAAAGAAAAAACCTTATTTCCTAATTGTGCACCTTTGGTAGTTTTGGTTCTAGTGGCAGAAAGAGGGAAGCCTTCCCTTATTACTGGACTCGGTATCATGTCCGAAATTGACCTCTAGCTGGGCCTCAGCTCCCCCACTTACACCAGTCGTCTCATGAAGTAGGTCTACTGTTGGCTAAAGATTCATAATCAGGAGATGATACAAGAAACTATGGGGTTAAAAAACTACCCATACCTTCTTCGATGCGTTTCAGAATTAATTGTTCACAGATATCACGAAGATGTGCCTCGAAAACATGAAGAACAACATCAGATATTTCATCTGTGGTTTTTCCGAGGAAATAATCACTTGCTCTTGCGAAATGTTGAAGATCCTGCATAATTTGTACTTCGGCAATGATTGAGACAGAAGCTCGATCACTTCGTGCCGTTTTGACATTCCTGTAAACCTTTTTGAACGTAAGTACATCCAGGGTTAACCTGTAAGAAATATGCTGTTATTAAAAATTTTAAAGATGAAACAATTTTTTAATAGAAAAATCCGAGCCCCAGATGGGACTTGAACCCACGACCCTCCGTGATCTAGTCGGATGCTCTAACCACTGAGCTACTGGAGACTCTATGGTATTATCTATTAAAAATTTTGTCATCGTTATTTCCATAATTAAACCTAGGTGACACATTTCTAACTCTTAAAGCTACCATGTTCAAGAAATAGATCGGCATAATAACACGGGGAGGTCTCTGGACAGACTAGGTGTGGGGTATTATCAATTCACTTCACAAGTCAAGGTGCTTTGAACAAAGAGAGGGCATTTTTCAGTTACGATTTCAATACTGTATTGTTTTGTTTGGTAGATTGAGAATGTTTATTTAGTCTCAGTTAACATGTTAATGAGTAAGTTGTGAATAGTACAGGTTTGCATTTCCGAGTGTGGCCGTTGGCCGTGTCAACGAGGTCCCCTTTTAAGGAAACGTTTGGACGGGATAAAACAAAAGCTAAATCACTGGTTACAACACCTGACAAATTAAGAATCATTTTAAGGTTCAATATGTGTCTTAGTGAGTTTATGGCGTGGCACTGTTTACAATTAAGTTGAGTGAGGAGGCTAGCCATCGCCTATTCCAAATTGCAGCTAAGGAGTAGAAACATTTAACTCACCGAGTCATTATGAAAGTTTGAAATGTAAAGAAAGATGACATTAGCTCAAGACTATCGATCATTAACAAAAGGCTTGCCTAAGTCTCAAAATATACTGGATGTCATAGAGGGGATTTGGCAGATACAGCAAGAAACAGTCGTATTCGCCTCCCCTCTTAAACTCTTGTCGCGTTCCTAAGCCTGACTCAGTAGTACTAGGCTCGAGAGGTGAGTGCACCGCTCTCTTCTGATGAGAAAGTAAAATGACAATTCTTTAGCAAAAGAAACTTTTCAGCTATGCTAAGTGTAAACATAAACGACCCGTCGATTAATTTTTTTTCGAAGAGGTTAAGTGACAAGCTATTTGCGAAGACATTTTCTCTTTCAAAACGAAACCAAGCACAAAGCTAATTCAAAAAAATCGCTCACAAATCTTAGGCTTCGCACTTATTCCAGTTCTAAAACAGAGACCTTAGGCCTACCTAGTAAATCGTGAGGGTGTTCATGGCACCCCGGGTAAACAAGTTAAGACGATGCGACTGTAGAATTAAAATGCAGAAGAATCTGAAGAGTGGAGTGACGTCACCGTTTGATCAGGATGGGGTGGTTTCGTTGATCCCATTCCTTTACAATGTGATCATTCATAACTAAACAATTTACGATACCTATCAACTTTACTAAGCCCCGCCCAGGCCCACAGACAACTCCGTTTGCCCGCAACCGCTTTGTGCTGCTGAGTTCGAGGAATGCAACATCCACCTTAGAGAGAAAATGCACATTTAAATTACATGTTATCTTATTGATTTTATAATTCAAGTGTTTGTACAGGGAAGCGTTCAAAGGTCAGTGTCTTGCCGTCCTTACTGAGTCATAAAACGTCTCTTGCATGAAAGAGACTGATGTACATTGTTGTTCCTGTCTTTAAGACGACTATTTAAAGTCATACACTTTGGCCACCTTAGTCTGACGAAGAAATTAGATCTGCACTTTTGTCACTGAAAGAAAACAAAGGATATTTGTTTGAAGGAAATATAACAATATTTTAAAAAACTAATCAAAACAAAATTTTTGTTGTCACGTACGGACCAAATTATTTTATTTCACCTCTTTTAATAAAACTATTATGTTTCTTGAATGGAACAAATTCAGTAAAGCCAAGTGTATCATCAATGATGCAAAAGGCGAATAGTCAAAGTAGATGTGATGGCTCTCGTAATATGCGTTTTTTAAGGATATTGTTTGATCAGTGTATCGATAGACAATTTTACCTGAGACAACAACAGCTTCCCTTTCGCTTGCCATATGGCAGTTTCCCATCGCTCGGTTAGTTCGGTTAAACCTAAAGATAGGTTATTGCGAGGACCGTTTTGCTTTTTAAACTTGTAAATATGTTCCAAACTGGCGAGAGACTAGTTTTCAACCGCTTTGCTTCAAGTACCATGTCGCATATCTTCACGTCAATATCATCACGTACATTGGCGACACGCTTTGCTATTCATGCCGCGCAAAGCATGAGTGGCACGAAAAGATTGGCTTTGACCGGAATTTCAACACGTATTTAACATTCCTAACCCGATAGTGCGAGGATGAACGTTTGACAGGCTTGAAACGAACAAAATTCCCCTAAGTATAGCCTTTTTCAATGAAGAGAGGTGCTAAATATCTGCATATGATTACTGTAAGGATGATATTGCACCTAACAACATAAATTGATCAAAACACTTTTCTCAAATCACGTTCGTTTTCAGCGCACAAATTTATCATCCAATACGTTGGACGTTGAAAGTGGACTGAACAAAACTCAAAAACAAGGAACTCACTCAAGTTTGTATGATACCATTGATTTTTTCATTGCGTGTCACTCTATTTTCCACTGTGGTTAGCTGTAGTGCAGGTAGCCTTCAACGATGGACAATAACAGCAAATACTGTTGCCACACCTGACTTTATCACAATTTCCCCCCAATACCTCTCGTAGAAATTAATTGGCGCAGCCGTGATGCAGATTTAAATTTTTATATGAGGTCACTTTAGCTCAGTATTCTTTTTATTGCACCAAGCTTACTCCGATACTAAATCTAACTTTTACTCTGAAAGAAAAAACAAAAATAAAAATAACCCAACCCTTACCTAATCCAACCCCTTCATTTGAAATTTGTAGTTGTCATTTGCTGTACAGCGCTGAACTATTTTAAGCAATAAACGTTCAATATGGCGAAATCGAAGTATGTACTCTAAATGCCGAAACAACAGCAAGTCATACGTGTTTTCAGGTGCGTTGTCTTCATTATGTACCAGCTGAAATTTTAAATCATTTAGTTATTGAAGCGGAACAAAATACGTTTCAATCAGGAAAAATCGGGGAAAAAACATTTTAAAGACCGGATGAACCCACTTTTTCGAGTACTTTCTGATCAACCGGAGGGCTACGATTTATAGGAAAGGAGACATTTTGGCGAGGTAGTATCTTTCAATTGATAAAATTAATGTATTGAATAAACAAGGACGGTAAAATTGAACGAGAACTTCTAAGTTTACAACGATTCAGAGTAGTTCAGTTTTCTTTCAACTCGGTTTCAAGTTTCGAAAACCTTGCTGAGAGATAGCATCCATAGTTTAAGAAAAGCAAAAGGGCCAATTCTTATCATTTGCGTCGTTTGATAGGTGGGCCATATCTTTGATGAAAATGGTAGAAAAAATTCACAAATAGCTATTCCCTTCGTGAAACTCTCATTTGGCAGGCAACAGAAGCACTACAAAAGTTTCATCCGTACTAAAGAAATGCGAATTCTTCATTGTACTCGTTTGATAGGCATTCACATCTTTTTTAAAATACATATTTGGCAGGAATGAAAACAAATTAAAAAAATAAAAGATACTGCAATTGATATCAAGCAATTTGAATGCGCCGAGCCTAACCATTTATCATCTTAAACCCAGTAAATAAAATAAAATTATAGCGATTTAAAGTCAAGGCTTTCTATCTACTTAGCATACAAGACTGGATTCAATTTGGGTAAAGACAAACAAAAAATGGCACCAAGAACTTAAATGAGGCGTAAGGTACTCAACTCCTACAATCAGTAAATTTAGGGAGGGTTTTCGGGGTTTTTTCTTTTTTTTTTTTTTTTTTTTTTTTTTTTTTGAGAGGATAAAGTTCCCCTCCGGTGTCACAAAAGCCCTTAACTGTAAGAGATCAATGGCAGGCACAAATGAGAAAGAAAGTCCGACTTCAAGCTTTGACAAGCTCAGTGTAAGAATGTCCTATGTAAACGGAGTAAACGAGAGTGATGATTGTACATAATAAACATAAACTCGTTAGTTTGTTTGCGACTACAGCGTACAAATCGTCAAACTAACGTAGTGCGAGTGTACCAAACCTCCTTGCCTCATTTAAATAGGACACAGCTGCTAAAACATAGTCGTAAAACAGTGATTTTGACTTCTACATTTGAAATTTCTCATAAACAAGTTATGACGGTCCATTTGAGGCAGAACCTAGTTAACGTGTCGATTTCTTCAATTCAGGAATTGAACGCTTTTACTCATTGTGTGGAGTCTAAATGCAGTTGATTAAGACATGTTGGTGAATGACTGTTGACGGAGGTGCGAAACATTCACTATGCATCTTTGAGTTTTCCTCACATAATCGTAAGAACGCTGAGTTTGAACTCAATCTTCCAAATTACCTTGAGACTCCTTTTCTTCCTTTTATGGAAAAACAAACTTTATTTTAACACGAAGAGATGATCAGTTGCGCTTGGTTTTATCAAAATTCACAAATTAAGTGGTTGACGTTAACAGCAAATTGATTGCTCGTTTACTTTAAGTGTTGGAAAGGGAAAAATCCATCACGATAAGATATATCATTACTTCTATCATTGCGTTACTCACTTTGCGAAAACATTTTCCTGTACTTAACCTCTTAAACAGATTATGGATAAGTCGGTCAAAATACGTAAATTTATTTTAGAATCTACTAAACTTGAACATTTTTGACGTCAAGGAAATAAAAATGAAACAGGAAATCATTCTGATCTAGAGATTTCCGCCCAATTTCTCCCACGTACTGGAAACGGCGGGGGTGAACTAATAGCAGTTTTGCAAAAGAGCTGACTAAGTACTTGGTTTGTCCAGTGTCCTTATCAAAAATGTTTCAAATTTGCATGACTTAAAAAACGACATAACACAAGAAGGTGATATAAAAAAGGTGTTCCGTGTTTCTTTGGAAACTATTATGTTCTGGGTTTTTAACGAGACTGACTGATCAGTTTGCTAGTTCACTTAAAGGCACGAGAAAGTAGAGTACTGTTATCTTGTGGACATAGTACACTGACGCACGAAAAAAAAAACCGAGATGAAAACCTTGTTATTGTTATTTCTTATTACTATGTTGGTCTGCCTCTTGCTTTATGTACAAGAGACGCAGGGACAGCTAACACATAACATGAGACGCCGATGCAAAGATGGACGCTCTTTAGTAAGTATTCACTCACCATGCATTTAATCTTTCACATCACTCATTCAGCATGCGACTGTAACGTAGCTATTAAAGCTTAATTCCAAAGTCTTTCACCGCTTTCTCATCTGTTTCGCGAGTAAAACAGAGGACATAATACCTTATCACAATCAATCCTCCACTCAAGGAAACCTCTCCGAAAGAGTTCGAACGCTGCACACACATGGAAATAATAATGATGATTATGAAACTCTATCAATGTGTTGATTTTAAGTAGTCTCTTCTCTAATGGTTGGGGACATCGACGCCTTGGCGATAAATAGAAGTTAAATCAAATGAATAACTTTCGCTCTTGAGCTACAGCGTTGTACATCTTAAGTTACATAGAGTTGCAGTTTCTCACAAAACATCCAGTTGGTTAGAGGAAGGGAGATCAGATACACCGTGACACTTTGCACCAAGGGTTTGACAGAGCTTGCCTAAGAAATAAGATACAGTCGGACGTATTGCTGAATTCCACACATTTTCGCCGATGTTTTGACTATTATTTTCGTCTCCGCGATGTTTAGTTACTTTTGGCTTCTTCACGAAATCATAATTTTCTCAGCGCGTGATTTCTTGAAGAACTGAATTCACTGACTACGTAAATTTTAGATGAAGATAATTTTTGCGATTCTTCTGGATACTTCCAGGCCACTATTATAGGTCATGTCTTGACCATATAGAATATGGACTATCAGAAAAGTGATGAAAGATGTGGGGCGCGAAAACATAAAAGAAAATTGTTGGTAAATCAATATTAATGAAATAAAAGAAAGTAACATGACTACATTAAAACCTCCCAAATTCCCCCCCCCCCTCCCCTTCCCCGTCTCTTTTCTGATACTCCTTCCCTAATCGCTGAATTTTTCAGGAGATCCGCGTTTGTACTTTTCATATCGGCATATTAATTATTTCAGTTAACAATTTTGTTTCATTTCACGTTTTTACAAGAGTTTCTTTTCCCTATCGGAAGATATAGGATACGGCTTTTGATAGTTTATAACCTCTTGTCGTCCAATAATTTTTATTATGATTAATTAATTCCATACAACGCAGACTTTTTCAAACTTAAAACTTGATGTATTAAATTAGCTGAAAATCAACTAATTCCTTAGGCAATTTCGAACAATTAAGCGCTCAAGGAGACTATATATTGCATTCGTTAGAAGAGTTCTTGCAATTTTTTTACTGTATAAAAAGTGTATTATACATTGTGGTCACAATCGGTTGATGACCTTCGCAAATCATGGGAAAGAATATAACAGAAATTTGCACAGCGACATGTCAAGTCTTTAGTGGCTCCCTGTGGTAATTTCCTTAGTGGGATTGGTCGCTATGTAGTTATTTCTATTTAAGTTCACTTGATATGAATACTATATATTACCCAGAGCCGATAAGAACTCAAAGTAACAGTATATGAACGGCCGCAGAGTGTAGGAAATCGCAATCGACCAAGTTACCCTTGGTAGTTTTATTGCTCTCGGCACTGACTGGTGAAGATAGTTACCAAGCATTAACGAAAATCTTTTTTTTTAAATTTCAAGGGGAGAGCAAGAAAAATGATTTCAAAAGCATATCCAGAGATGAGGCCGCAGAGAAGTAATGTACCTTTAAACCAAGTTGATAAGAATAACCGAGATCTCACTGAACGGAGGACATTGCTTCCACATGGAAGATATCTCAAGACATGTCAGGAATGATGTAAGACGAATGCTTAGATTTAGAACTCACTACTGTCGCAACATCCTTTACTCGTGTAAACAATAATGCCTAAAAAGTTTATTTGTTACGTTGAAAAATAAAACCATAAGTTCTGTAATAATGTTTTGTCTTCATAGCGAAATAATCCCAACGAGGACGCAGTGGTCAACTCTGTAATCTAAAAAAACAGTCTACTTATGCTTTCGCGATTTGCCAATCAGAACTGAAATGTTATAATTTATGAAGCATCCTTATTTGGAATCTAGTTTGAATTAACATCTTCCTTGGAACTCCAGATATCCATCGACATTGTTCGTCAGTGGAGTAACGTCTGATCGTGACAGGCATTTACGATCAT